GGCCCCGCGCGCGCCCCGCCTCCCCGCGCAGGCGCGGCAGCTGGCGGCCGCGGCCCCGCCCCAAAACACGGCGCACGTGCCCGGGATGCTCCCGCCCGCTCCCCTCACGGGGAAGGCGGTGTCTGGAATACGCTCCCCCATGGGAGGTGGGGTGGTGGGCCCGGGGCGGGCTCCTTACCCGTGCGCAGTACCAAGTCACACACCGAAGCGCTGCTCCCGAGGTTTTTATTGCAGTTGGCGCCAAGCAGGGAGCCGGGCGGTGGCACACGAAAGTCTGGCAACCCGGTCACCGAAACGTTACACTATTTATACATTTTAACAAAGGCGCCAGTATGGAACAGGCATTCCATACAGCATTTCAAATGGTGATATTCCGGTCTCCGAGTGGGGAAGTGTTCTAATATTTAGCAGGGCTAAAGGGAGGCATTTTACCCAAGACATTTTTGTTTCTAATATCAATTTGGATAATTGCGCTTTTAGGGTTTGATTCATTCGTTCAACCTGTCCAGAACTCTGAGGATGCCGTGGAGTATGGTACTCCCATTGGATCCCTAAAGCTTCAGTCATGTGTTTTATCACCATAGAAGTGAAGTGTGTGCCTTGATCCGAATCTACGTATTTTACCAGTCCATACCGGAGCACAATTTCCTCTAGCAACAATTTAGATACCACTTGTGCAGTAGCCATGGAACTTGGAAATGCTTCCACCCAGTGAGTCAGTTTGTCTACTATTACTAGCAGACACCTATACCTACCTACCTTCAGTAGATCGGTAAAATCCATCTGGACCCTCTCAAAGGGTCTATACGCTACTGGTCAGCTCCCCAGTGGTACTTGCCTGGCTCGGCTCCGATTCACTTTTTGGCATATCATGCACCCTTGTACTTCCTGTTTTGCCAATTCATATATCCCTTTACACCCACAGAATTTTAAAAATTGTTCTGCTAAAGCCTGGGCTCCCCAATGAGTTTGTGAATGTAACCTTCTGAAAATTTTCCGAGTATATTCCTTTGATAGTAATTCCTTCCATCTGGTAATTTCCTCTTACCTCCATCTAATTTTCCTCCAGTCTTTTTGTACCCCTCAATTTCCTTTTGAGAAAGTTGTGGAAGATAGTCCCAAATCTCCCCCTCACAAATCTCTGGAGTGCTTACCTGCAGGAGTGCCGCGTTTTTAGCCTCCTGATCTGCCAAATTGTTTCCCCTGGTTCGGAATTGTGCTCCTGTTTGGTGTCCTTTAACATGGACTACAGCAATTGCCGCTGGCCCTTGGATAGCCTCTAGAATTTGTTTTATTAATTCGCCGTGCATCAGCCCCCTCCCTTTAGTGTTAATTAGACCTCTTTCTTCCCAAATCTTACCAAAAGTGTGAACCACCCCATAGGCATACTTTGAATCTGTGAAGATAGTCCCCTTTTGACCCTTTAGTCTCCATAAAGCCCTTAGTACAGCACACAATTCACATGCCTGTGCCGACCATCCCGCGTTTAGAGGTCCCAATTCCACCGTCTCCTTGGTTACCCCATTTATTATTGCATACCTTGATTTCCTTTTTCCCTCAATAACCCTTGCAGATATGTCTATGAACCATTTTTCCCTTCCTTCTAATTCTTCTTCAGAGTCAGATCTTATCTTGGTTTGTAATTGTACAATTTCAGTGCAATCTTGAGTGGGTTCCCCCAAAGTTTCCCCATATAGAAACTGAGCTGGATTCTGAGCTGCCATAGTTCTGAGCTCCAGGTCGTGAGAGTGTATTAAGATAGCTTAGTATTTAAGAAGTCGTGTATCAGTGAGCCACGTTTCAGCCTTTTTCTGCAAAATGCTCCTCACATTATGAAGAGTATACACTACCAAAGGTGCCCCAAAAGTTATCTTTTTGGCTTCTTCTACTAACACAGCCATGGCCACAATAGCTTGTAAGCACGTGGGCCATCCCTGACTGACAGGGTCCAAGAGCTTAGATGCATAACCCACAGGTTTCTTTGATCCTGCCCAAGCCTGTGTTAGTAACCCGTAAGCGGTGTGATTACTTATGTCCACAAACAGCTGAAAGGGTCTCTTTATGCCTGGCAGGCTCAGCACTGGAGCTACTATAAGGGCCTCTTTTAATTCTCTAAATTTTTCTTCATCCGGTTCAGTCCATTTAGGTTTGTCCGTGGTTAGTTTTTCATATAAAAAACTTTACTTTCTCACTGTACCCCTCAATCCTTGTCTACAGAACCCCAGAAGCCCAAGCACTTTTCTTACTTCCCTTTCTGACTGAGGCGAGGGTAACGCAATGATCCCCGCCACCCTGTCAGTGTCTAGCTTTTTCTTACCTTTCACCAACCAGTGTCCTAAATATTTCACCTCAAGCTCGGTGAATTGCAGCTTAGATTTTGAAACCTTTAAGACTTTATCCCCTAAAAAGTTTAGGAGAGCTATTGTGTTTGCTCTTACCCCATCTTCATCAGGACTTGCTATTAATAAGTCATCCACATATTGTAATAGCTTTGTTCCCTCCGTCAGGACAAACTCACTCAATAATTGCTCGAGAGCCTGACCGAACAGGTTCGGTGAATCCACAAACCCTTGAGGCAGGGAGGTCCACCTAAGTTCTTGTTTACGGTTCATCTCTGGGTCCTCCAATAGAAATGCAAAATAGACCCAACTCTCCCTTGCTAGATGACAAGTCCAAAAGGCATCTTTCAGGTCTATTATGCTATACCAGATATCATTTGGTGACACATTTTGAGGAGTGTATAGGGATTTGAGACGGTGGGAAATAAGGTTTTTCTTCCCTGGTTAACAGCTCTTAGATCCTGCACCAAGCAATAACTCCTGTCCGGTTTACGGACCGCAAGAATGGGAGTATTATGTCTAGACACACACGGCTCCAAGGTGCCCTTTTTTATTAGATCCTCAATTATTTGTTTTAACCCCCACCTTCCTTCCATGGGTATTGGATATTGTTTGACCCTAATAGGGTCTTCTGGTTTCTCAATTTCTATGTGTATAGGTTCCATTTCCAACTTCCCCACCTCCCCCTTTTTGTGCCACACTTTAGGGTTTATTTTTCCCTCGTCCTCAGCAGTGAGTTAATACAAGCTTACCATAAGTTGAGAGTCTTGTGCAATTAGACTAATACACAAATTCACCATTAAATCCCTCCCTAGCAAATTATAATCTGCTTGTTCTACCAACAGTATATTCCTTAAACACAATTTATTTTCGGCCTCAATTTCTACATCTTTAATTACCGGTACCTTGAAAGGTTCTCCCTTCGCCCCGATTACCATCATGGAATCCTTGCTCTTTGAGCACCTCCATGGTAGGTGTTGGACAGTACTCCTTTCAGCCCTCGAATCTACCAAAAACACCAGTTCCTGCTTGTGGGGTCCTATTTTTAGTTTTATCAAGGGCTCCTTTGGTGTTACAGACCCCATGTTAAAAAGCCCTTGACACCTCTAGTCTTCTTGAAAAATGTTCTCATCCTTCATTCTCTTTTTACATTCCCTCTTAAAGTGACCTCTTTTCTTGTAGTAATAGCACTCTGGCACCTCTGTCTGTCGGGGCACAGGCGTCCTTGGTGGATATCTGGGATTCACCAAGGCTTTTTGTGCCTGACTTGTTTTCCCAGTGTTTGTGTCCCGTTCCTGTTTTTGTGCTTCCCTTACTGTCGCCACTAGGACCTTTGCCTGTGCCTTCTGCTTTTCATCCTCCCTCCTCATATAGATTTTTTGAGCCTCCCGCAACTATTCCTGTAACGTTCTTTCCTTCCAATTTTCCAGCTTCTCCAATTTCCTCCTTATGTCCTCCCAGGATTTAGCCACAAATTGCATTTTTAATAAAATGGCTCCCACTGGGGAATCCGGGTCTCTTCCCAAGTACATCTGGAGAATTTTTTTTAACCTCTCCAGCCATTCGGTAGGAGTTTCATCCCTCCCTTGGCATTCCCCCAATGCTTTACTCAGATTCTGCCCTTTTGGTACTGCCCCCCAGATACCTTGAATCACCATATTTCTATCATCTTTTGCCAGTCCTCTTCTGCTTGTGCATTCCAAGATGGCCTTTGACTGGGCCATTTGACCTCCACACTCCCCCCTTGTGGGTTTTGATATTCCCAATTTTTTATTGCTGCCACCCTTATCATATCTCGTTCTTCCGCATTAAACAAAGACCTCATTATGGCATTAATATTGTCATATGAATAAATACTGTTCTCCAAAAACTCATCCAACCTCTCCGCCACCCCCAATGGATTATTCATTATTTTCCCCATTTCCTTTTTGAATGCATGCACATCCCCCGAATTTATTGGCACATTCACATATCCAATGACTCCTAGAGCAGTCGGGACTTCCCTGAGCAGAAAGAGACTCTGCTCTCCTTCCTTGTCCTCGCTATCATCCACATTTGCCTTCCAAGTCTTGTTTCTTATTCAGCTGGAGGGCGGGGACTCGTTCCCCATGGATATGTGTGTGTGTGCTGTGTTTCCCTCCAGTTGCATAGGAGGAGGAAGGGTTTGTTCATGTGTGAGCGGCATTGCCGAAGCTTGCCCCTGTAGAGGCGTTGCTTCGGATGGCGGCGCCTGTGGCACCACCTGTTGATGCATGGGATTCGTGGATTCGGGGAAGGGACCTTGCACCTGGGGATTCGGATATTGAGGAGGGAGGTTTTCCAGGAGTTCCCAAGTTTTTGTGAGATTCTTAGGTTGTTTGTAGGTTTTTACAGGAAATAACCTGGTACTGGCGTATTCCCATAGCCGCACATACTCCCTTTCCTCGTTTGTTGACCCCTCTTCCTCCAACACAAATTCCTCCAATGCCTGATATGTTTCCTTCTTAAAAGTCCAAAACACAGGCCAAAAGAAGTATTTCTTGACCTCCACATGAGCCCATTTCTCCACACAATAATATATCATTCTCTCCTTAGACCTCCCCCTCCTTGTGGGGCAATCCTCCCAATGTTCCAACATCCACCC